TCTCCCCTCCCCTCCCTCACCCTCTTCTCCCTCCCTTCCCTCCTCCCTCCTCCCTCTCCCCTCCCCCTTCCCCTCTTCTCCTCCTTCTTCCTTTTTTTTTTGGTTTTTGAGACACGGTCTCCCTGTAGCCTCAGGTGGCCTAGAATTCACTATGTAGACCAGACCGGCCTGGATCTCACAGAGATCCACCTGCCTCTGCTTCCTGATGGTATTGAAGACATGCACCATCATGCTGGGCCTGTTATTTTCATTATGAAGTTTGTCTTGGCTATCTTAAATCTTTTTTTTTTTTAAAAAAAAACTTTTTTTTTTGTCTGAGACAGGGTCTCCCTGTAGCCCCAGCTGTCCTGGAGCTCACTGTGTAGACCAGGCTGGCCTTGAACTCACAGAGATCCGCCTGCCTCTGCCTCCTAAGTGTTGGGATTAAAGGTGTGCGCCACCACGCCTGGCTTTTTTACTTAAAAAAAAAAATTTTATTTATTATTTGTATTTTATGTGTATGAGTGTATTGCCTGCATGTGGTAAGTGCACCCATGTCGTGCAGTGCTGGCAGAGGAAAGAAGAGGCTGTTGGATCCCCTGGAACTGGAGTTACAGACAGTTGTTAGCTGCCGTGTGGGTGCTGGGATTCAAACCCAGGTTTTCTGCAAGAACAACCAGTGTTCTTAACCGCTGAGCCATCTCTCCAGCCCCTCTTGGTTATGGTTTTTGAATCTCCATATAAATTTCTGAAAGTTTGGCTGGGTGTAGCACTCAGAAGGAAGAGAGAGCCAGATCTCTGAGTTCAAAGCTAGCCTGGTCTACACTGCAAGTTCTATGCTAGCCAGGGCTATATAGTGAGAGGCAGATCTCTCTGAGTTCAAAGCTAGCCTGGTCTACACTGCAAGTTCTATGCTAGCCAGGGCTATATAGTGAGAGGCAGATCTCTCTGAGTTCAAAGCTAGCCTGGTCTACACTGCAAGTTCTATGCTAGCCAGGGCTATATAGTGAGAGGCAGATCTCTCTGAGTTCAAAGCTAGCCTGGTCTACACTGCAAGTTCTATGCTAGCCAGAGCTGTATAGTGAGACCGTATATAGTGAGTGGGGGGGCTGGAGAGATGGCTCAGCAGTTAAGAGCACTTGCAGAGGACCCGGTTTGATTCATAGCACCACATGGTGGCTAACAACTGTCCGTAACTCCAGTTCCAGGGGATCTAACACCTTCTTCAGACCTCTGTGGGCATTGTACAACATGGGTGCACTTACATGCATGCAGGCAATACATTCATACACAAAAAAATGAAAATAAATAAAACTTTTTTTAGCCGGGCGTGGTGGGGCATGCCTTTAATCCCAGCACTTGGGAGGCAGAGGCAGGTGGATCTCTGTGAGTTCAAAGCCACCCTGGTCTCCATAGCGAATCCAGGCCAGCTCAGGCTACAGGGAGACCCTGTCTCAAAAAGACCAAAAAACAAATAAATAAATAAATAAAACTTTTTTTAAAAGAACAAATATTCAGCCAGGCGTGGTGATGCACGCCTGTAGTCCCAGCACTTGGGAGGCAGAGGCAGGAAGATCTCTGTGAGTTCAAGGCCAGCCTGGTCTACACAGTGAGTTCCAGGACAGCTGGGGCCACAGGGAAACCTGTCTCAAAAAAAAAAAAAAAAAAAAAAAAAGAACAAACATTCATCAGTTTTAACAACAATAACAACAAAAATCTTGTAGCACTCTGAAGGTCTGGAGGACATCCCTTCAGCAACACTGAATCTCAATACAGGAGTTGACAGGATGTTCCCAAGGAGCCCCACACCCAGATCACCCAGGAGGTAACACCAGAGTAGGTTTCTGTGGAGGATGCCCTGCCTTGAAGGCTCAGGCTTCATCCCCTCCTATAGCCCAGCAAAGCCCTAGAAGCCCGAGTAGCTCACAGCCACACCTGTGTCAGAGGCTCTAAGCTTCTCATAGCCCTGAGGCTGCTCCCACCTTGCTACGGCGACTACAAGTGTCCCTGGGGCTGCACGTGGTGGGACATGCTCATCATCCCAGCCAGGTGGCCTACATGAGTTCCAGGGCAGTTGAGACTATAGGGAGACTCTGTCTCAACAGAGAGAAAAAAAAAAGCATCCCTGTCTCGAGAGGCTCCCATGGCTGTGGAGGTAGGGGTCTCAGTTCCATCTACATAGTGAATGCGTAAAGAGGGCTCCCAACAACACATACCAAATCTCTGGGAGGGTCTCCAGGGTGAACCTGAGTTGACTGGAGGGTAGAGTGTCCTGCCCAGCATGATTTCTTCAGGAACTATGGGGCCCAGAGGCCAGCCCTCTTCTCTGTGGCTCACCTTCAAGCCCTCCAACACAGGTGCTGTGTCCTTCAGTGTCTCCGAGGGCAGGATCACTTCAGGCACCTCTGGCTGTGGCTCGGTCACTAGTCTCCTGGTGACAGTGGCTTCTGTTCCTTCTGGCTGGCTGTCCTTCTGAAATGCAAGCAGCACTATACTGTCACCTTAGTCACCCAGCTGTGGCTCCACACTCAGCATGTCCCCCGAACAGGACATACTTGGAACAAGCCTGCTAAGTGAGGGGAGATCCACAGATCACCACCCAGCAGCAGTGGCTCCCTGCCTCAGGATAAGCAAGGAAGTTCATACTACTCCAAAGCTGTGGCCCTACAGTCCACTGCTCAAGTCACCATGCCAACCTTGACCTCTGTAGGTGAGGACGACGAGAAAGGGCTGAGGAGCTGCACAATGATGGCAGGCAGAGTCTAGGGAGCTCTGACTGGGACAGCCCTGGGTTCCACGGTGAGGCAGCCGGTAGGTCACTCACCATCGCCTCGGCGGCCCTCTTCTCCTCCAGGTGTTCCTGCTGGATGGCAGCCTCCTCCTGCAGTGTGGCCTCCAGCTTCGCCTTGTTGTCCACCTGCTCACCTTCCACCTCTGCCACTTTTACCTGAGCTTCCTTCGCCTTCAGAGGGGAGGAGAAGAGAGCACACCTGACAGTGAGCCTGAGTTGCCAGACCTCTAGCTGAGAAATGTCACCACCTGGGCCTCATAAAAAGCAACAGAGGGGCCGGAGAGATGGCCCAGCAGTTAAGAGTGCTGACTGCTCTAGCAGAGGACCTGGGTTCGATTCCCAGCACCCACATGGCGGCTACGAACCGTCCTTAACTCCAGTTTCAGGGGAATCTGAAGCCCTCTTCTGACTTCCACGGCATTGCACGACATGGGTGCACTCACTATACATGCTGGCAATACACTCATGCACATAAAATTAAAATAATAGATAAAATATTTTAGAAAACAAAAAGCAACAGTGTACATGGCTGAGGTGCCACCTTCCAAGTGTTGGGAAGCACCTAACAGCTTCCAAGGCTGACCTGCCATATCTGTCAGAGGACTGCTTGACTTTCAAAGCAAGAACAGCTATGGGTACCACTGGCAAAACTCAAATGCAGAGATTCAGATCTACCGCCCTGACCAACACTAGGCATGTCAGGACTGCTGTGCCACAGAGGGATGGTCAGAGAGATAGCAAAGGTGCAACAGACAGAGAGTCAAGCCAGGGAGCTGGTGGAAGGAAAGGTAGATCAAGTTCTCCTGGAGGGGCTTCCATGATATGGAGATGAGGGTCCCATCCTAGCCCAAAAAGAGGATACATCAAAGGGCTCTCCAGCCAACACATACCACAATCTCCGGAAGGGTCTGCAGTGTGGACTTGAGCTGGTCAGCAGGTGAGAGGGTGTCTGGGAGGTACATGGCCCGGGACAGGATGAGCAATGACGTGGGGATCTCGTGGTGTAGGTGCAGGTCCAGCCACTGGAAGCAGAACACACTCACTGGCTACACTCTCCTTGTCCACACATGCTCCAGAACCTCCCCTGCAAGGTGCCCAGGAACATCCACCCAGAACTCTGTTCTGTTGCTTTGGCTTAGTTGAGGGACATGGAGTCTGGTGGCCAGAAACAAACATGACTTGTGTGGATAGGTTCAAAGTCATGAGAATAATTTCTTCAAAGGTAATTATTTCAAAAATATCTTGAAGCCAGGCATGGTGGCGCACACCTTTAATCCCAGTACTTGGGAGGCAGAGGCAGATCTCTGTGAAGCTGAGCCAGCCTTGTCTACATAAAAAGTTCTACATCAGCTGGGGCTACAGAGAGAGCCTATCTCAAAAAACTAAAACTGTAAACAAAACAACTCCTCCCCAAAACAAACCGAAAAACCAAAACAAACAAAAACATTCTTGGTGGCCCCATAATATGGGCAAAGCAAAGATGGCTTTGCTGGAAGAGTCCACACTCACATGCAGGCCTCCGTGCCATACTAAATTACTTCAGTGATACCAAGTGAGATAGGGTATCACACTATAGCCCAGACTGTCTTGGAACTTACTATGTAACCCAGGCTGCCCTCAAACTCAATCATCCTCCTGCCTCAGTGTGTGCCACAATGCTGTCTTGTGTGTGATGTTGAGGGTGGAACCCTGGGCCTCGTTGTGCATGCCAGGTTCCACTCGGGCAATACTGGAACACCGGGGCTTTTCTTAAAGACATCCACAATGTGCCTGAGCTGATGGTGGGCTCTCTCATGGAAGGGGAAGGTATGAACCTGCCCTACTGGCCCCTCAAGCCACATACCTGCTTCAGCTGGCCCCTCAAACGGTCTTCTGTGACTCCAAGGGCTCGCATGCCTCGTGCCCGACATGCTGCCTGCAATTCCTTGACAGTCAGGCTGTCCACCCCTTCCTCAGAAATCAGCTATTAAAGAAAGTAAATCAATTCTTGTTTTTCAAGGTCATCTGAGGTTTATGGCATTAACATAACTGGGAAAAGTGTTGACTTAGAAGCCACTTCCTAACAGGCTTTGTCATGAAAAAGTTAATGCCTAGAGACCCTGGGGATAAATAAAAGACAAAATAGTACCACCAGAACAGGTCAAGTCTAAAATGACTTGAGCTACCTGAAAGAGGTCAGAACTTTGGAAAGCACACAATGGCCAAAAGTCCACCTCTAGGGGAAGATGCCGGGAGGAACTGCTCCTCCCCATGACAGACCCTTGTCCTGTCAGCTGAACGGGCCCTGCATTGCTTGCTCACCACCTGCTACAACACACTCAGTGTCCACAGCATGATGAGAGAGGGGCCCCAACACCCTGAAAACACCCTGGCCTCGTACCCAAAGAGGTCTCCTCCCCTTCCCCCTGAAATTATGCAGGTCATGGTGACCCCAATGTGCAACACAGACCTGGAGACTTGGAGGAGCAGCAGGTGAAGAGAGAGAAGAAACAAAGCGACACTGGGGTGCTGCTGTGTCTGTGCTGGGCAGTCCCTGAGCCCCTGCCATGCCTGTGATCACACAGCCACCCTATAGCACCACTGCCCCATTATTAACAAACTTTTTGATATGATCATAGACACACGTCACTGATACCAATGACACAAATCCCAATGCTCTTCCCACTCTGGGCATCAAAGAACTACTTCCCCTTGAATGAAGATCTACTTTGTTGCCTTTCATAGACACCCTGAACTCCACGGGTATCATTTGAAGAATGTCTGTGAGTTCAAGGCCAGCCTGGTCTACATAGTGAGTTCCAGGCCAGCTGGGGCTACAGGGAGATCCTGTCTCAAAAAGACCAAAAAAAAAAGATGTAATCATACAGGAATCACACCATAGGCACCTGTGGGGTCCCAAAGGACCCACCTGTCTGCTGTGGGCATCCAAGGTGGCTCCTGACTGATGGGTAGCCTCCTATGAGCTGGGTGGATCATTCTGCTTAGCTGGTCTCCCAGTGGAAACCATCTGGGCCATTTCAGCTTATTTATTAGAGCCAAAGTTGCTTCCTGTTGGTTTTCTTGCCCTGTTTCCTTCTGGCTCCTAGAGTTATCACAACCTACAGGGTGGAGCCACGGGCAGGACTCTGCCCTCTCCCATTCCTCTGCCTCTGCCTTCCTCTGCCCTCTCCCATTCCTAGTCAGAGAACAACAGCGCGGGTGCCTCAGTCCTCTTGCTCACTAGAGGGCAGCACTGAAGACTGGCTGCACACCCCAACCTCTGCCTGTCTCCCTCCTTGTTCTAGTCCAAGGCTACCTCTGGGCACTGGATAATAATTCTGAGTAGAGAACCTCCTTTGGCCATTTTGTGTGAGTGTGTTTGTGGCTGTGCGTGTACATACTGTTATATTTGTACTCGTTTTTTTGTTTTTTTTTTGGTCTTTTTGAGACAGGGTCTCCCTGTAGCCCCCGCTGGCCTAGAACTCACTATGTAGACCAGGCTGGCCTTGAACTCACAGAGATCCGCCTGCCTCTGCCTCCCGAGTGCTGGGACTAAAGGCGTGTGCCACCACACCCAGCTCACAACTACAATTTTAAACTAAATATTCCAACTTTCATGATGCTGCTGCCTCACGTGCCACCACACCCGGTTCCACCCAGCTCCTTAAATTTGGAGATGTGTGTTTTGTACTGAATTTGGAGAGCTTTCAGCCATCAGTCCTCAAGGACTCTTTAGGTTCTGCCCTACCCTGGTTCTCCTGTCCTTTGGGTCCCTGCGACATGAACACCTGACACTGCTGCTCACTCCCAGTCTTTAGCCTGTTGTCAGAGGGGACCCCTCGCATCCACCCTCTGCTGCTGCTGCACCAGGCCACTGAGCTTCCTGTTTGGTTCCGACTCTCTGTGTGGCTCTTCTTCATATCCACTGGTGTTTACTGAGACTTTCACTGGTGTGTTTAAGAATTTATACAATGGCTACTTTAAGGTCCCTGTCAGAAGCTGGGCACAGTGGCCTGTACCTGTGGTCCTTTACAAGGTGGAGGCAGAAGTTCACGGCCAACTTGGACACCAAAGCAAAACTCCATCTCTGAACACAGCCTCTCCAATTTTTTAATATTCACCTTTCGGTTAGCAGCTGTTCATTGCCTTTCTCTACCCATGTGCACATCTTCTTGGTTTTTGGTATGACAAATGATTTTTCAATCAAAATCAATGAAAAAAATCAAAATAAAAACTAAAAACATGTCCATAGCACAAGAATCTGGATGTTCCCGTGTCTTGCTGGCTTCCTCTGGTGCTGCTCCCAGGGAAGGGGATGCTGCTTTCAGATGCTTTGGTTGATGATTCCACAGCTAACGGCCAGAGTTGCTCACAGCTACCCTGTTATATGGCTTTCTCATCCAAACACAGACCTTGACCCTTCTGTTTCACACCCTACAGTCAAAGCACCCGCTGGCTGCCCCCACACTAGGAATGAAGGCACAGTGCTGGTTCCTAGTGGTGTTCTGACACCACTCTGTATGAAGTGAAGCTGTGCCTGGCCCAAGTACTATAAGCTCCTTGAAGGGTGCTGGCCTCTTCACACTGCCATGTGCTTTTATCCGTTAGTTAAGATGGCACATTTCAGGCCAGGCGTGGTGGTGCACACCTTTAGTCCCAGCACTTGGGAGGCAGAGGCAGGCGGATCGTTGTGAGTTCAAGGCCAGCCTGGTCTACATAGTGAAAGTGAGTTCAGGTCAGCTGGGGCTATAGGGAGACCCTGCCTCAAAAAGACAAAAAAAAAAAAAA